TCTGGCTTCTTTACTCCAGCCAGTTCACATTATATAGAATCATTAAATAAATAGAATCTTTCATGCAAGTTTATTCAGACCAGATTGTCTGCAAAATGTGTCTTGTCGCACAAGAAGTAGGATTTTATGGTCTGCTCAAGTATATAGTCCACTCCATCTGTCCTTGGAAATGGCTATACCTATTCGAAGTTGCAGTTTGGTTGGGTATGAGTCCTCATGGTCTGCCCCAAATGTGAAACTAAACTTGGGCCTGGTCACAGAAAGGCATGTGATAAATAAGCAGAACTCAGTATGATTGCTTTCCTCGCCTTTAAGCTGTTGGACCTGTGGTTTATAGTATTTTGAGGTGGTTTCAAAAAAGATTCTTCAAGTATTATACATTGGTGCATACCAGGCTCTAAAGCAGCATGTGATTTACTTGATGTGGTCTTGATCTGCTAGCACTGCTGTCTCTATCTCCTTCCCCAGCAGCTCCAAACCAATGTGCAGCTACTTTAGAAAGTCCTTTTGAGTTGAACCATATAGTGGCATTTTTTTAATGACCTTGTAAATCTTTACAGAATTTAGTACATTTTTTTCAAGAAAGATTTCTCAGGAGTGTAAAGGAACTTCTGGCTGTACAGATCTGACCAGAGTGGTCAGTGGCCTTTGCTTTGCCTCACAGATTGTCTAGAGTGGAAGGCCCACGTTCATTCCAATGCCATCTATGCCTGACTTGGAGCAGGCACCCTACGTTAATCTTCCATGTTTCATGTAAATGTCGTAACAGACTACATTAATTTTACTGTGTGGGAATTTTTATTTTTACTTTACTCATCTGGGAAAAAAAACTTGTTCTCACTAGTGAAGAATGAAAATACTCAGCCTCACATTTATACAAATTGTCTTTTTGTTTTTTTTTTTTTTTTTTTATAGTTGCATATCTAAAGTACGTTCTTCTAATGACAGCCAGTGAAACAGCATTCTATACAGTTATTTGGGGAAAAAAAACATCTCTTGTAACCTGTGTTAAGATGAGCTAGCTCTTTGACCTGTATGATCAATTTAATTTCCTTGAAAAACAACATTATTATATGAATTAGGAAATGGATATGGAGGGGCCTACTGTACAAATGAGGAATATATACGTATTTCCTCTCATTAAAGTCCTTTCCAATAGAAAATATTTTCTTTTTGCTCTCGTTACAGATCAAGCATATGATGGCTTTCATTGAGCAGGAAGCCAATGAAAAGGCTGAAGAAATAGATGCAAAGGTAAAAATGGAAATTCAGTGTCAGTAAGTGCAAAAGGAAAACTGCATCTGACATCCTGTTTTGATAGCTGCAGTCAGAGCACTGCTTGAACGCTTTTGTAAGCTACAGCTTACTTCACATTTAGTTATTACATAGCAAAAAATCATGCTACCAAATAAAGTTAATATTTGTTATCTTGTCACAAATCAAAACAAGTCAGAGCTAATTTTGGTCAAAGTTTTTGTAGTGGTTCTTAAATATAACTTTATTCATATGCAAGTTCACTCATTATTTTTAAGCAATCAGGAGAGCTAAGTGGTAGTGTGAATAGAATGGATTAAGTGGAACACCTTCCCCCTCCTCGTATACGTAGCTTGACATCACTGAGGATTAAGGGAGTTCTCTGCATAAATATGAATTCTGCTAAGGTTTGTCATAAGAAGCTAATACCAGAAGGATTAATTTTAGTTTTGCTTGATTTGTCAGGCAGACGCATTAGTAGTAAATCAGAGCAATAATGCTAGTAGTCTTCATGCATGTACCAAAATGGTAGAAGGTGAAAGTTAAACTGGTTGAATTATATTGGTGAAAGTTTGTTTGTAAGCAAGTTCATAGCTGTACCTAAACCTGCGTAACCACCTGCAGGCTTCATTCTAGGTGCGAGTTAGTATGTATCCTGGGGAACTAAAGCATAAATTTATATTTAAGGCATGAGTTGAATTACTTGGAGAATTCTTCGCTTAAGTAAAGTAATAAGGGACTGATTTGAATATTAACCTGGTGATAGAGTATAGAAGTTTACATGTAAGGGTACCTTAGAACCCTAACAATATGTGTTATACCAATACTGAAGTATCTTGTTGGTATTGGACTCAGCATATGTATTACTAATAATATTTAATCTCCCTTAAACATTTAGAATTGCACAAATATTTAATCAATACTAAAGCAGGTATTCCTGACAATCTGCAAGCAGAAGTTAGATCTCCTTTCTGGCTACAAGAGATTCTAACTGAAACAAGCTGCCCAGCCCTAAGTGTCCAAAAACTTCATTACTTTAATCATTTTTTACACAAGGAAAGTGACAGCATAGCTATTACTCTTTTATAAAGCCTAGCCAGGCAGCATGTGAAAACACATGGCAAATTTTCGTGAGTACTGAAGTTTGTGGGCACTGAGGGCTGGGGAGCTTGTTTTAGGTAGAATCTGTTTTAGCCAATTCTACAAAAAGAAATCAGACCTGAAGCTAAGATAAAATTATTTTTGTCCAACAGTATATAATATATACATTTGGTAATTTTTGTGCCTGAGGAATAAATACTGCAAGGAAACATGTCAATCAATTGATAAAATAAGCTGTATCTTAGTTACCAAAGTTCTAGTTCTCAGAACACATCCTGAACTCCCTTTGACTTGAGTACTGATTGAAATGTTTTGTTTATATGGAATCATAAATTGTGTCATCCTAGCTTATCTATGAATGTGCTCTGAAAGCATGGCTGTTTCATTTTGATTCTGTTTTTTTCAGCCCATGGAATCAATTTCCACTTCAGTTATTTAATTTTTACTATAGGCAGAAGAAGAATTCAACATTGAGAAGGGTCGCCTTGTTCAGACACAGAGGCTGAAAATCATGGAGTATTATGAAAAGAAGGAGAAACAAATTGAACAGCAAAAGAAAATGTAAGTTGCTTAGGTTAGATGGCCTGACTTAAGAGCCTGAACTCTCACTTTATTGCTAATTTTATTCAAAACAGTTTTTCCCTGTTAAATAGGCAAATTGTAGCCAATGTATTTAGTTCTAGTTATGAGTTTCTAGTTTTTGCTGGGGAAAAATTATCAAAGGTGAGCCACAACTGTTAGCAAGTGTGGTGGAAGAATCTTTCATATTTCTCTATGTAGATAATGTCTAGAACTCTACCCTGGTCTGTTACTCTGGGACAAATGATCATGTCAGGTTTAGTTTTGGTGGGCCTTTACTGAAGGACAGGGTTCTGCATTGCAATAATTTGTGCAAGTTCAGAAACAAATTCAAACAGGTCAACAGGCTTTGTTTTTAAATGTTGTAGTATTGTTATCTTCAAATATTAAGTATACAGTTAAATGTTACAGTCAAAGTCTGATGGATTCATTCAACTTTATCATGCAACTTGCAGTCAGATGTCCAACCTGATGAATCAAGCAAGACTGAAGGTCCTCAAGGCAAGGGATGACCTTATTGCAGTGAGTATCTCTGTAGTAAAGACATAGAGGTTCTATTTCTGCCATCTGTTAGGGAAAGTTACTAACCATTATCTAAAAAACAATATGATTTGTAATTGAGTGGTGTTTGCTGCAACATACAAAAATGGCTTTCCCAGCTGATCTGAAAAGTCATTAAGGATTTATTCTGGCTTCACTAATCTGCTTTAGCTTGTTTTCACAGTTTCTATTACCTGCTCTGTTAGGGAAATAGAGTTCTCTGCCAGGAACACCACAGGCAGTGTTGTTATCTATCATTTGGACAATAGCTTATTTTTTAAAAGAGCAGTAACTCTTTCTTGCATCGTTGGTAGACTTTTGCAGTTCTTTTTGCCTGAAGCAACATTTTTGCTGGCATGACATGGCTTCAGCAAGCAGGCTTAAAACACAGCTAACCAGGTTTTTCTGTCTCCTTTAGTGGCCTCTAGTATATGGAAAGATTCACTTCTTGTTCTAGTAGGTGACCAGTCTGAGTGCTGATGTGTAGGGTGAGTGATCGTTTGTCAGGGCAAGCTATGTTTAGTCTTAGTTCAGGCTTACTATGTTTATCCTACACCACGTGTAGTGAATTCTCATTCTGCTCATTATACAGCTTGCAGGTTTCCCATTGTTTTTTACCCTGTCTCAGTGAGAGTTTGAGTGTTCCATATTCTGCTAGATGGTGCTGTTGAGCTGTTGGAAAAACTGTGAAATAAAAAATACAGAATTGGGTAACATTGCTCAAGTTGCTGCTACTATGAAAAAGGGGAGTTAGCAGAAGAAAATCATAAGTTTATTGATTCTTTAAACCTAGTTTAAAACTTCAGAGTGTATTTACAGAGAGGAGGAAAGTGGGTGGCTAAAGAGCTAACTCTGTTGTGATAGTCTCTGCTGGGTAATCTCTTCCTCAATTGTCAGCTGACTCAACCTCATGCTTCTGAGTAATGCATAACATTCTTCCTCATTTTAAAACATTTAAAGTCACATGCTGCTAGCTCTTTCTTCCCTTATCAGATCTTTGGCCTCTTTCATGATCAAGAGAGATGAACAGTTCCAGAAATGCTGTTACTCTAGGGTGGATAGTATAACTGGGTTTGACTGTGACATTAAGTTGTGATAGTCTTATATCCTAGTACTGTTTGTGTTTATATGCACTCTTCTTTTAAACACTATGAGGTAGGACAGTAGAGAAAGGTTTGTACCAAAGCATACAGTTGTTTTTTCTGAAGTAATTTTTATGATGGTTCAGTTCTAGTAGCTGTGTTTGAATTGACACAAAATTCTTAAAAATTTAATCTCATCTGATACTGATTTGCCTATTAAAGATAATAAAAACCCTCTACTTCATCTCTTTCACTTCTACGTTTTGATTTGCATTTACTTACAATTTAAACATACCTAACCTGAATGTTGTTTGATAAGAAGACAGATTAGATTTCTTTGCTCAACTACAAAGCTGAAAAAATTAGTTATTTGGGCAACTTTATTAGTTTTCATTAGGCAATGATTTACAAAATATCTCTCAGAATTAATATTACAAATACTATCCTTTTACTACTGAGGTCTCCCTTTTTCAGGAAAAAGGAATTATTGTCAGGTTATGACGGGTTCAGATCAGGGCAGAGAGAAGGGAACTGTTTGGAAAGGATATTGTGCCATGCACAGAAACTAAGGTCTAACTTGGATGAATACCAGCTGGAGTGTATGTTTATGTGTTGTCAGGGTGTGATGGTTATGATAGGAGTACAGAAAGTTGGTAGGCATGAAACCAAATCCAAGCAGGTGGGCTCTGCTGATCTGATTTGTTCTAAATGTAGGATTTGCTGAATGAGGCCAAGCAGGGTCTTGCCAAGGTGGTGAAGGATACTGCCAGGTACCAGATGCTGCTGGAAGGACTTGTTCTACAGGTAAATATTTAAATTGTAACAAATAGATGATAGCAGCCCTATACTGCTAGGTGTCTTTCTTCAAACATAACCCACTGGAGGTTGCAGTTGTATTGAAGCCTAGGTCGAATGTTGCTGGGTGATCTTTTGAGTTTTAAACATCACTTCTGCTGTATCTTTCAATCTTGGATTCTGAACAGATAAGGCTGCAGCTTATTTTGACCTGTAAAACCTGGTATACCAAGCAGCAAGTTCCATTATAAGAATAATTGCAGATGCAACACATACATTGTAACATGTACATTTAGGATCCATGCTTCAAACTTCTGTAGTAGTTAGTTGGATCAAATGCACCTTCGGAAGAAGCTATTTCTCCAAACCTAGGAGTCAATAGTTACCCACTTTTAAAATCTTTTCTGCATTTAAGACTTACAAGTCCCGACTTTCACAGATTTACTGTTGTATGGCACACGTCTGTAACAGACATACAAAGCAGAAATTAAAGCTTTGCTTACCTGGAATACCATCCTCCAGCTACAGAAATTAACTGCTAACGATCCAGTAGGCATTGGCCAGGGTCCGTCGTGCGACCACTAGTGCCACCTTCTGGTGTGAATTGGTGCTTTTGCTGTAAACTCGCAGAAGCCAGCCACAAGCTCTCCTGTCCGCAGTTTGGTGGCAGAGTTTTCTTAACAGTGTTTCCTACCAGCTTGTGCTTCCAATTCAGTGTTGTTTCTTTGTCACACTTAGGTCTGGTATTGCTGGCTGCCACACAAACCTGTCTCGCTCTTGCAAGCTGGTCATGTCTGTCTTGGCTTATTAGATTTGATCCGGTGAGGGATCAGTACTCATCAGTACTTGCAGTTGGACAAGGTGATAGCTGTAGGTCCCTTCCGACTGGAACTAAACCTATTCTGCTCTAAGGAACAGGAACTGCAAGGAGTTATTAGAACAGGCACCTGACAGTACTGCAAGTCTTCTCCAAGAGCTGCATAGGGGAATGTCAGCTTGGCTGCATGCTTGGTCTACTTAGACAGCAATGATCCTTATGTATACATGTACACTGCCTGAGACATATGTTTAGTTGTGCTTGAGTTCCAAACTTGAAGCGAACAAAGAAACACATAATCTGAAGTTGTAGGGTCTTTCCCAGATATTGGTACTGTCTCCCCAGAATGTCCACATGAGGTGAACTTGCAAGCAAAGAACAAAAAGTGGCCTTTACCAGGTTTTGGTTTTCAAATTGATCAGGTCCTTTCCTTTCTTGGGGTTAAATAATTCTAAGACAATTAAAATGTTACTGTTCTATCACTGTAATGGTTATCTTGTGCAGGGATTCTACCAGCTGCTTGAGCCCAGAATGGTTGTTCGATGCAGGAAACAGGATCTCACTATGGTTAAGGTAAGACACTTAGAATAGCATGACAGTATGCTGTCCATGAAAGCTAGGACCTAACTGCAAATATTTGCTGTTCAGATCCCGTCTGTGTGACGAGAAGCTTTGCTTGCTGCACTCTGCTGCACATGCAATGCAAGAGAACAAGTATGTTTTTCAAGTTGGGGATCATTTTCTTGCTTGAATATTACTTAGGAAACTTTAGACATTGCTACAATATTAAGAGTAATAATTGCTTTTGGCTCAAAAGCTATACTGAAATACATTTGCTTAATTGAAAAAAAGGGCCTCAATTCCTTCATTTTATTACTGCAAATGAATGAATGACCAAACCCAAGTGGCACTAGCATTTGTCAATGCTAATTTAGAGGTTTATTTTGTATCCTAGGCTGCTGTAAAGAAGAATATTCCCATCTACAAAAATGCCACAAAAAGGGATGTGGATATTCAGATTGACCAAGACAACTTCCTGCCAGAGGAAATGTAAGGAAAATGGGAATCTTTTGTACAGAGCACTAATTTAATGCAACTTTTCAAGCCACAGCTCCTACTAGAACAGTCTCAGAAAATGATGTATGGAATATACCCACAGTGTGTCTGCTTCGGTTCCAGTGGAATTTGACACTTCTTTGTATTAATCAAGCACAGACCCTGCAGTTTCCTCCAGACAAGTACTGTCTCAGTCAAAAATGTCAATAAAAGTGTTGTGCAACCTCCAGCCTGATTCACAGCACTGAAGTAGAAAATAACTATACAAAGAAACTTAACTATCTGTCTTTTAAAGAGAGAGAATACAGATATAGCCATGATTTCTGTCTAAAGATGAAGCAAATTGAGTCATAAGGTGCTGCAGGATAATCATTTGATGAGGTGTATGTTTCTTATGTCTTCAAGGCTCTATTTCCATATGATACGATAAAGAACATGGCACAAAGCTTTATATGCTGATAGTCAGCGATCTTTATGGTCTAGCAGACAACACTTGTAGCATTGTTCCTCGCTTCCCAAGATCTGAAAGCTGTTTATTAATAATAAAATATAGAGTCTGAAGCTGTTCTGAAGTGACAAATTTCATAGTGCCACTTGCATCTAGATCATACTAATTAAGATCCTTGTATGTAGTTGTGGTCTCTAATGACTCCAAAGATGTTTTGCACTGCTGCTTCACTGGATTACTTTGTGCTGACTTCTATTAAGACATGATAAAAAAAGTTCTGTTTTTTTTTTAAATAAAAATCCCATGTATGTATCTGACTTGCCTGTAATCACTGATTTGAGATAATATCTCTGCCACATTCTGACTTTGTGGCAGAGGTATTATCGCTGATATTGATACTTGACAGGTATCTTGGATTTAATGGGGTTTTTTTTTCCCTTTTTAGTGCTGGAGGTGTTGAAATCTATAACAGTGATGGTAAAATTAAGGTTTCCAATACTCTGGAAAGTCGACTGGACCTTGTAGCCCAACAGGTAATTTTTTCTAACAACCAAGGTGAATAAGATTTAACTGATTAGTTTTGTCTTGTAGTTAAATCCTTGTGTTTCCAGTGTGTTAACAGTCATAATAGTGTGTGGGATCAGATTTCAACATGGATGACAAGAAGTTATTTTTGAATGGAAAGAAGCAAATTACCTGCTGTTTGTGCTTCTCTACAACAAACATGGCTTTTCCCAGAATGATGCCTTTTAAATTAATCATGAGCAAAAAACTCTAGTAATTATGATCCTGAAAGACTTATTATGACTACATGGCAGTCAAGATGTTGAAATGCTGAGGCTAACTTCAATTACTGAAGCTAGCTCAAGTACCAGAAACTGCCGCTGAGACCTATTATACCCTAGTGGAAAAAAGACCCAACGTCTCTGGCATATCTTTCTTATGCTGCAGTATCGGCAATCCTTTAAGTCTACAGAGTAGCAGGCAACATGTGATCAGATAAAGGCTTCAGAAAACTCAGATGAATGGACTTTTTAATCTTGAAGCCTAGCCTAGCTATCACACGGTGCCAGCAATGAGGAATGTACAGCAATTGATAACTCTTGTACTCTTTCTCTACAGATGATGCCAGAAATCAGAGTGGCTCTCTTTGGTGCTAATGCCAACAGGAAGTTTTTGGACTAAACCCATGTGGGAGAAGGTGGGATCTATTCCACTGCTATACTGAAGGGGATGCAAAAGCATCTGCTAATTTAAAATCTTGAAATATAACATTACCTTGTTATCCAATATCTGTTCTTCAGTGGAATAATTTTGCATACCTGCTGTGCTTAGCCTCTCTACTTGTGGTTAGAATGTATTGCTTAAAGGATGTGAAGACCATATTCATCCAGCAGTGACACTAGAAAGTGGAGGCATTTGGGCTCTTGGCTTTCCTTGCACTGTGGTGGCTCTATAAAGACAAGTGGCCCATTCAGGGTCACTCATTTTGCTTTGGCCACATCTCTTTCAAGGTGTCTAATCTGTGAAGTAACTTACTATGCTACCAATGGGAAATACCTTTTCAGTTAAGGTTTTCAGTGTTACAAAGGGCGTGTGTTCCTTCCCAGGGTTAGCAGTTTAATTCATGTTACTTGGTCAGGCATTTTTCTGTTCTGTATATGTGATTTAAAAAAAAGCCTGAGCCTGTAAAACTTTATTTATTAAAATAAAAATGCGTGTGTGTATGGAGTTCTTCTCTGGAGTTAGCTTTACTCTGGGGGATTGTCAGCAACCTTTGAAAAATGGGTTTGTGTGTATAAGGACTTACTACGTGAGGGCTGTGTGTAATAACTGTTCTGTGAAGCTAGAATTCGAGTGCATGGAGTACTGTCAAGCTGTTTGCTTGAGTGATGTTGAATTGTAGGCAAGCCTTTTGACAAGGACTTTTGATGAGCTTCATTCTTCCTAAAAAATGGGTCAGTATTTTTGCTCCCTCAGTCTTCTTTCATGAGAGAACTAGGCAACTGCACTACTTAGATAGAACAAATACAGTCCCTTTGCAGTTACAGGTTTGTTGCTTCTGTGCAAGAGATCCAAACCATACCCTTGTAGTAATTAAATTTCAGGACTTAAGGAAAAACAGCTGACTCTGTTGCAACTATTATCTGTATTGTTTGAGTAATTATGAAGTTAAATAACAGTAGCATAACTATATTCATTACCTAGTCTGTTAACTATCACTTCTACTTTGTTTCTGCAGTGATGACTAGTATTGCCTCCACCTTCTATGGTGTAGGTCAGGAAAAGTCTTGACATGACTTTCCACACTACAAGCCTCTGCCAGAGTACCTAACTCTTCACCTGGTGCTCAATTCTGAATCTTGTTTCATGGGAATAAGAAACTACTGAGATGAATTACTGCTTGAATATGTTTTGAAATCATCTTCTCTAAGTATTGCAGTGATTCAGGAATACTTCAGACAGATCGTAAAATCATCTCTAAAGTAGTGTATGGCCTAGATCTGAGCATCATCATTCAAAATTGTAGCTTGTGTGTTGTACTAGTGCTACTGCTTCCCTTGGAAAACTGACAGTCAGTGGTGTAATGCATGTAAATAAAGTCACAGGCAGGGTCAGCTAAAAGCTGGGACACAGAAGAGACAGATGACCCTCTTGCACATCATTCTGCAGTGATGGGCCACATTATGTTATCTTCAAGTAGGTTTTATTCAGTAAAAAAAAATTGTATTAGAAGTTATCATGACTTTTCTCTGATACCAATAACATAAATGTCCTCATCTGGGACAAAAAGGGATTCTTTGTACAGAGTCTGACAGTCTGTTTCTTTCATTAAGGTAGCAAGACCTTCACAAAGCCAGATCTTGTATATTTTTGAAAAGCAAAATAACAATTAATTAAGTATCTGCCTGTGGAGCTCATAGTGAAAGATATTGGAGTTACTATTTACTATTTACTTTTCTCTGTTAATTTTGTATCTCCTTGTGTATCTTCCTGTGCAGGAAAGAGGAAGAAATAACCACTGTCATACTTACACACAAAAATTATCAGCCTCAAGAATGTTTTTTGTTTTAGTTGGTCACTTGGGCAGCAGTGAGTCAAAGCAGGTCCTTAAGAAATGGTCTGATCTTTACATATGTTGCATCTGAAGTCTGAAACTGGAGCACTTATGCTTACTCGGTTTACTAGTGGCGTTGGAGGCAGTCAGCTTGAACCATGTCAGCTCTGACAGGAACTTCCATCAATTTCCTGCAAGTGTATTACAAGAAAGCACTGATTAATTTCAATCTCCATTGAAAAATAGTGTCTGCATTACCTGGAACATCCTTGTCCTTCATTCCAGGTAGTAAGGGCTGTTACCAAATTTTATTGTCTTGAAGTGGAGAGAAAAACAGGACTATCCCATGCAGGTTTACCTAGTATAGTTAGCAATCTTGTTGTGTCTTCATCCAAGCTTCTCTTCAGCGTCTGTACCTGGGTTTTTACAAGTGAAATGTGAGACAAAAGCAGCATTTCAGGTGGATTTTGGAGTTCCTACTGGAGCATCATTGCAGCACTGTTTCATTATATGAACTTTACTGCTGATTTAAGCAAATTAAGTAGGGTGCACATTTTTTTTCCTTACTGATTTACCTGATGACCTAGGGCAAATCAATGAGGATATTGATCCTTATTCATCCTTGTATAACCATTCAAAATATTCCGGTTGGGTATAGTAAACAAGCCCTAAGTCAGATCAGCATATTAAGAAGCTGGACAAATACAGGGAACAAAGGAGGCATTAAATCATGGTCCAGGTAAAAGAATTAAGTTGTGTTAGGAGAGGCAAGCATCACAGATCAATGGAGACTGCAGAGCTGGTTCTGTCTAGCGCTGGAAAAGGAGTTAGGGAAACCGATAATGTTGTGCCTTTTCTGCACAGTTGGCAATGGAAAATTTAAGAGCGGGTTTGACACTAAGTGATCAGCAGAGGACTTAAAATGTTACTGCACATCTGAGTCACAACCTCTTTTTTAGTACTTAGTTTTCACGTTGAGAGGTATTAATCAGAGAGACACATGCTCTATGAATGATCCCTAGAGGTGCATGCAAGTGTCAAGGTGAGGGAAAGACTATAAGAAAACAACCAGAAAGTACTGAGAACTGAGGCCTCCGTGTCTTTATTAAGCCAGTAACAGTTGATAGAGCTATAACTTCAAAAAGGAAGCTCTGGGCTTGCTGTCAGGGGGTGAGTGCTACCCCTCAGAAAACTGGTAGTGACAGGGTGAGCATGCTGCATGGAGGCTTTTTGAGTGCCCAGCTCCCTGCTGAGAGCCAGTCTTGGAGGTATGGACAGCCGTGTTTTCTATAATAAGACTTGTTTAAGAGCTAGCGGTGAGAATCTGGCTTTTGGGTGAATTCGGCCATGAAAGCCCAGCTACAGGCTTTTGGCCGCTCACTGTCTAGGGAGGTCACAGATCCCAGTGTGCAGCCAGAGGCAAGCTGGCAGAAGGAGGATACCTTGGTTGTTGCATGCCCCTGTCCTGATCTCCTGATGTTAGCAAGCAGTAGGAAATAAGTAACAGAAGAATATGCATCTGTGCTGGAAAATGGAAGAGGATTAGATAATACCTTACACAGACCAACAGCATACACAGTGCAGTGGAGCTGGAGCCATCTCCATAGACCCACAGCCTGTGCCTAAAATAGCCTGGGAGATTAAGAGAAAATTACCCATTTACTTAATTCCAGATAAATTGTAGTAAATGAAGAACAGAAAAATCTGAAAATAAAAGCAAACTACCTCAGAGGAAACTTCAAAGCAAAAATTTTTCCTTGGTTAGGTGAACTCTGAGCTGCTATTCTGGGGAACAGAGACTTGAAACTGGAGTAAAGTAACTTGGCAAAAGGTGTTTAGCCCTGAGCAAGAGCCCAGACAGACTATGCAGCATGGTTTGGCTATGTTTGCTGTTTGATACAGCTGGCTCACAGAGGCAGGTGGGGGCCCCCATCCTGCCTCTCAAACATGTTTGCAGGGAACAGGCTGTGACAAGAAGACCCTTCCAGGGCCGGGAAGTTCCTGCTGCTCTGAGCCAAGGTAGAGCTGTCTGGGAAACCCCAAATCTGTCTTCCTAGGCATCTCTTTCAGAGCATCCCATACTGCTGCTTTGGCTTCACTTTAGAGAAAGCAAGAAAAACATCTGTACAGGAGCATTCTCAGGTTAAGAATTGTACTGACAATGTGCCAAAAAAAGTAATTTCCCAGCCCATGTTACATGATGGAAATCAGAAACTGTGGAAATGAAGGCTACTACATTATTTTAGGTGTTTCAAGGCTGATGTGTTGTGAGAGACTGCATAGTGAAACTATTTCTGAAGGCCCTTTCCCATCCTAGGTCCAAGAGTGCTTGCGTGAAGTTAGCTCCTATTTTTCAGACAGTCCTGGCCCAGAACATCCCCTACTTAAACACCAAGCTACTGCACATACCCCGCCTAGTACCAACTGCAAACCTTGGGGCTGTTCAGGATCCTGAATTTCATCCCACCATCTGCTGGTGGCAGAAACATCCTTATTTTTCACATGAAGCTGTTCACTAGAAGTCTTTCAACAGAAGGGTTGGAAGATCATTGGTTTCTGAGCAGCTTCAACTTTAGAGCATGAACCTCTACAGTCTAAAAGATGACTTGCCTCGCAAACCAGCTGCAGAGCATGCAGGAAGTTCATGCTTTCTTCTCCTTCCTCTCTCCTGGCTGCCCATGTGAGTTCTTCAGCCCTGTGTATTAGCAGGGCCACTTCTCTCCCTGCCTGCTGGCCTTCTCCCCTTGGCAGGTAGCTGCTGGTATAGAGCTGCCACCCCTGAGTCTCTACAGCTCCACAATGCTCTGCATGGCTGTAGGGTATCAAATATGGAGGTGGAAGTGGACAAGAGGAGGAGGAGCGAACAACTGTCTTAGCTTGCCTTAGCTGGTGAACTGAACACAACTAAGGGAGAGAGGGACATGTTGAACTGTTCCTGGTATTTGAAGGGGCAGTTGTCTTTCGCAGAACTATTTCATCCACACATGCACAGCCTCTACTTGGCTTCCTTGGGTCTATTACCTGCAGTGTGATTGTAACACCTTTCTCCCAGCAAAGGTCACTTTTACCCAGATGGTCACAGCAACCCCGTAGTGGGGACCCACCACAGACAAAAACCTTCCTGGAACATCTTCTGAAGAAAGGCTGGTGCTTTCCCCTCAGAGGGCTCCAGAAAGAGAGGGGAGCCTCACTATCAGCAGCAAAATGGCAGAAGTTCCAAAGCAGCTCTTGATTGGGAGCACAAGTAAATTGTTAATCTGTCCAAAAATGAAATTATTTTCCCCCCATGCATATGATATTGAGCAGTTTAAGTGCAACTGCTTGTTCCATACTCCTGCTCTCAGCTCCAAACATGTGGAAGGAAGATGGTAGCATCACTAGCCAGGGCTGTTTGGAGGCTCCTTTCACTGGCTGCCTGGGTGACTTCCCAGGCATCCTTGCCACCCGTGAGCTCTGTGGGGTAGGACTGTCGAGCCCTCACTGAGGCCCAGAGGGCTTATTGAGGACAGTGCATCCCTGCACCAAAGGGATTCATGACACAGCACCAAGAGATGGCCTGGATGTCTCTTTGCGCCTCCCCAGTCCAAAAGCAGGTCTCATCCCACCCTCCAGGATCCTGAATCTGAATTTCCAGCATATTCAGCGGACAAACAAATCCCAGTCAGTGAGTCCC